AAGCCTTGCTTTGGGTAGCAAAGTAGAACGGCAAAGTAAAACAATCCATTCTAAAGCACCCACTTTATAACTTTCAAGAAGGTTTAAGAGAGTTCTTGATACAATTTAAACAGTGGCTGCTTAGCTACTGTAGACAGAGTGAAGCCGAAGTATAGTTAAGGCACCAGAGTACGTCTTGGCTGTAGGCTGGCCCACCTCCATTATAGGACTACGTGATATTGGATGCAACATTTAGAGCTCTCTGTGCCTTACGTCTCTAGCTGAAAATAGCATTTCCCAACCCTACAGCAGTGTTCGGTAGATAAATCTACTCATTTCTAGAAGTCATAGGGAAGTAGGGCTAGACAGGACCTCTCCAGAGGTCATCTAATCCACACCCCTGCCTGAAGCAGGATCATCCCTATCCAAACCATCCTATACAACCATAATCTAAACTCTACATAAGACTAACTGAAATCCTGACACAACATAGACTTATCTTCCAAAACTGCCCCAGGTCAAGCAGGGTAACCACAGCAGCCAATATCCTGCTCCTCTAAAAAGCTGTCAATATATACTTGAGGTCCTGGGTAGAGGGCCATGCCCCCCCCTGCAATATAGAGGCCAAAACCCCCACAGTGCATACCAATCTGACCATGGAGTAAAATTCCTTCCTGACCCCAAAAAGGCAATCAGTCTGACCCCAAGTGGAGGGGCAAGACCCTCTAGACAAGAAACAGGAACCTCCAGCTTTGCAGGAAACTGGCACACCCCAGCTGAAGTCCCCAGCCTTAGCTGTAGCCAACAACCAATGCCTCTGGGGAGGCTTAACACACCATGACACACAGCAAAAAAAAAAAAAAAGATAAGTGGGGGAGGGGAGAGGGTGCAAAAGCAATCAGTAAAGCCCAAAAGCATGGGAAATACCCATGGTAGAAAATGGGTACGCCTAGATCATCCCAGCCAGTGGCTGTTCTTGAACACCTCCAGTGATGGAGAGTCCACAACCTCCCTAGGTAGTCTATGTTCATAGTGAAGAAGTTTTTTTTCCAGATATCCAATCTAAATTTACTTTACTGCAACTTCAAGACATTGGTCTGCATCCTCCTCTCTGCGGCAAGAGAGAAAAGGTGTTTTCTTCTTCATGACAGCCCTTCAAGTACTTGAAGACTGCTATCATGATAGGGGCCATGTATGCACCCAAGAAGGATCTCTCCATCAAAAAAATATTTTTGAAGCACGTCCAGAAGAAAGTCATTTGATGAAGGTCAAGGGTGGCCAAATGCATACAAAGAATTTCTCTGCTCCCTTTCTGCACTGGCCAGGAAAATGTTAAACCATTTATGGTGGATTTTAAAATCATTCCGCCAGCCCTGTTAATTTCCAAAATTTCTAAGGCAATTATTTTGGTATCCCAGCCTTCACCTTGGTGATGTGGCCACAGTCACCTAAGTTTCTGGTAGGTATAATGTCAGCCATTCTACTATACAGGCAACCAAAAACCAAGATCGCTAGCATCAGCGCTTTCCTAGTAAATCAGTGAGCCACAATAAGAGGCTCATCGGCAAACCTACAATTGCTAGATCCTATAAGCAAAGCAGACACCTGTGTTGCAGCATAGGAACTGATGCAGAAGGAACCAATTACTTGGTGGTCCTTTGGATTCAGGCCTATTGAATAACATGCTTGTCAGCAACTAGAGGATCAGGAGATCCATATCATTTAGGTTTAGCATTAGTCCTTAGGTCACTGAATTTAAGGCAGCTTTGATGCAGAGGATTTCTGAATCTTGGGGGCTGTCAAATAATACTATTGCCATCTCGCTGGAATTAAAATTTACTACCTGATAGACCTCACCCCCTTTGCATGGCTCAATGAGTGGCCAGGAAGAGGTATCAGATTCAGACCACTGCCACAACACCACAGCTTCAAATGCCACAAAAACAACAAAATAATAATACAAACAGTTGGACTATTTTCTACCTAATAAAATCCTACCTGGTTACATTTTGCTCTGAGGAGAGAGAGTCTGTAGCCAGACTGAGTGGAACAGAGCCCTAGCACAGGAAATTCATTTGTTGCCTCTTACAAATAGACACACAACAGCCTCCTCAGTTCAGTCTGGCTTAAACTTAACCAGTAGCAAATGACCATCCTGCCAGTTATCTCAAGGAATGAACAGGAGCTGTGATCAAAGCCTGTCAGCAGGTTAAATCTCACCTGCCATTGGTTTGGAGAATACCATACTGTATTGTCCAGAACTTCAGCATAACTTGATTCAACTTTACTGGCCACATCTGCATCTAGTTCCTGCGACCAGGGAAGACCGTATGAGATCCAGAAAGGGAAAGATGTCTGTTCCTATGCATCTGGAACACAGCTGGGAATCTTTGCAATAAGACATGGAAGAGATCTATCAGGTCCTGTAGCCAAGGGACAAGCATGCCTGGCCCTGTCCCAGAGGTGGAACTTCTACTCTTTCAGTCTTAAAGAGTTTGATGTCGAGTGGTTTCCACCTGTTAAATTCCTCTCCTCTGAACATCCCTGTTCTTGCCTGAGGGCAGCGTTCCAGACGCTGCTCTCGAGAGACAATGGGAGAATTCCAGCTCACGACAGCCCTACAAATACAGCCTAACCTCAGAGGGTCACGGAGAAGCTGACTCTTCTGATCCTAACGCATACAAAAATGAAGCAAATGCCTTCAACTAGGCACAGGAATTTTTTCACTGTATTATTTGGCAGAAAAATAAGGACATGAAAGGATTTCTTTGAAGTACAAGTGCACATTTTCCAAGCAATTAGACACCATGAATCTATTACGAGCAGAGTAGGTCAATCTGACAGCTGGTTGGCCAAGAGTAGCCTATAGTTGGGCTTCACTTCACTACTTTAGCCAATAGAAGAGTTCTTCCCATGGAACAGTCTGAATTTAGAGAGACTATTTTTTTCCTGGTCAAGCAAGGGTCTCTAAAGTCAAGACAGAAGTATCCCCTACCTCTGAAAAGTTCCTTGAAATACTTGAAAAAAGCCACCTTTCTTCCCCTGATAAGGAAGCTGAACAAGCCAAATCATCAGAAGAGGGAGACAAAAAACTAAAGAAACAGAGCTAAACTGTGGAAGTAACAGTATTCTGTACCTTATTAGAAATGGATCATAAAACAAGACAGCACAGACTAGTCAGTAAGGAGAGTAACTGGGAAGGGATTAAAATGATATTCTCAGCTGTCACTTGGGGCAATCATTTGACCTCTCTGTGTCTATGTTTCTTATCACCATAATGAAAATAACCATGGACCCAGACCTCTGGATGAAGAAGCACCGAGTCTTTTGCTAAGTTTCTTGCACAGACAACTTGAATAATTTACACCTGTTCCAAGACTGTTTCTTCTCTGGACATGTTCACTGCTGAAAGTGTGCTGCATAACAGCCTCAACGCCCCCCCACCCAAACACATAGCCGGTAGACTGAACTGATGATGCTTAACTGCAATGTTGAATTTGCACTCTAAGCATTTCTGACCTGTTTGACTAAACTCCAGTTTTCCAAATACATGCTGTAAAAATGAATTCTCAAAACATCACACCCCCCCAACTGAATAGCAAAGAAAGAACAATGCTTCTGGACACATTTGTTGAGATTTACTGAAAAACATCAGCTAGAAGAGCCCCGTGGGAAAACAGAAGGGAGTGTTTGTAAAAGACCTACTGCTATTGGCTGCTGCTGATCCTGCTGGTCTTTAAGAGAAAGTGAAAGATCACTCTAGAGGAACAGACTCAAGGTGTGAAAGAAGTCAATAAAAGCAAAACAAATACAATTTATAAACTGGGGTTTTCATGATTTTATTCATACTATTAACTATAGATAAAGCATACATATTGTGTCTGTCATACAATCAATGCATTTGCAACTTCTACTTTAAATTCTCTATACAAAGTCATTGCCAACTGATACGGTCAATGATGGCGCAGGGCTTAAAATAACCAAGAGGTATAAAAACAAGTTTGCCATCTTGCCCTGAGTGGAAATGGTGCCAAAATAGAACAGGCTCAGTTTCAAAGGAATGAAGCTCAATTACAGTCTCTGTATGGTATTTACCTTTCACTTTAAGCCCTGAGCTATGTATTATGGCAATAAAGTTGTGAAGAAAGCTGAAATCCTATTTCTGTACATTCAGTTTCTTTCTGTTAAGAGCAAGGTGGCAAACACATTTTTAAACCCTGGCTTTAAAAGATTAAGCAGAACAAAAGTAAAATCTCTCTTCATGTTATAAACAGTAGGGGTGCACCAATAAAGATTTTCTTGGCCGATACCGATAGCCTATTATTAACCAGGCATATTGGCCAATACCGATCCGATAACTGATTTACAGGAATGCAGTTGGGCAGCATGGACAGGAATGCAGCCAGGCAGTGGGGAGAGCAGCTCCCTGCAGGTAAGTCTGTGCAGGGTAAGGGGCATGGGGGAGAGAAAGGGTAGATCAAGGCCACCATGGTGAGGGAGGGAGTGGGGCAAGGGCTGGGGGTGCTGCCCAGCCAGGGCAGTGAATGGGACCCAGGGCTAGGTCAGGGAGCAGGACAGAGCCATGGGCAGCTCATCCAGGGGATCAGCATCCCAGCACTTAAAAATGGCAGCAAGCAGGGGTGTTTCAACTAAAGCTCAACAAATGAGCTTTAGTTCAAGCACTGCCACCACCATTTTTAAGTGCAAATACACTTTTAACCAGAGCTGAGCAAAGCAAGGGCAGATTCAGGCTGTAGCCTCAGGGCTCTCCGCCCTGCTGCCTTTGCCCCGGGGACCCCATACAGGCCACATGTCCCCTGCCCACCCAGCAACGGAAGCCCCCCCCCCCCCCCGCCACTGCTGCCAAGTGGGCCAGGGACACACGGCCAGCACAGGCAGAGACCCGTGAGCCCACAGCAAGCAACCATGCCCCCCCATGCCTCCCCTGGGGGGTGCAAGCAGCAGCACCCACCCCTGCACCCCTTACATGAGCTGCCCATGGCTGTCCTGCTCCCTGCCCTGGGTCCCATTCACTACCCTGGCTGGGCAGCACCGCCAGCCCCAGGCCCACTCCTCACTCCCTCACTGTAGAGGCCTCGGCCTGCCCCCACCCACCAGCTCTTTCTCTCCACAGACTTACCTGCAGGGCACTGCTCCCCATGCTGCCCGGCTACACTCCAGGCCACATGCATGCATCCAGCTGCACAAATGCACACGGCATCCTGGTGCCCCCGCCAGAAGGCATATTATATTTATCAGTTAACATTATCGGCTAAACTGGCCCAAAAAAACCAATAATTTTAATTTTCCTTTTATTGGTGTCAATCCAATATGGCATTGATATATCGGTGCACCTCTAATAAACAGAATTGTATTTTACAATTCACCAGCCTGACAATATAATGGCCCACAGCAGTGCAGCAGCAGGATCTCAGTCTAGAGGTTGTGGGTCTGCGATAGGCATGGTATGAAGTACTTCATCTAGAAGCTGGAGCGCACGGTGTAAATGGATTTCAATCCAACAGGGTGTTTCTTTGATGCTCTGCCTTGGGTAATCAGGTCCCCAACCTTTCACAAAACTCATCCTGAGTATGCATAAACGGCGAAGGTCATCTACACCAATTCCAGCAGCAGCTGACAAACCTAGACAGGAGTTTTTCACATGTGTTTATTTGCATTTAGCTCTGTCACTCCATTTTACCATGCATTTACAGCCAATTCTACAGAAAAGACCATTTGCCCAGCTGTTTCTTCATGTACTTCTCTCTCCACAAGCCAGGCCAAACAATGGGTCTATATTTCTACTGTACTGTAAGTTACATGGGTTTGCCAGCTCTACTTTATGGCCCAAGTTGTTTATAAACTTCTAACCAACTATTTTAAGATTCCTAGTAGACCTCTTCTACCCTTTGCCCTGCCCCCCAACCTGGGGTGGGGAGATGATAAAAACTAGTGTCAGAAGCCCATTTTACAAAGGCAAATGTAGCAAAATATATTTATTTCTGTAATCTGGCAAGAATGCAGCATTCTTCAAGATACTACTTTCTCATTTTCAGTGAAAAGCAACATGGATAAATATGGCAAGTGATCCTTTTTAAAAAGGAGGAATTAAGACTTGCTTTCTGCTGCAGAATTGCATATCTTGGCCATAATATTTTGCAAGTTTTACATCATACCTCAGCGGTTCCCAATCAGTGGTAAGCAGACAACCCATCAGTGGTGTGCGTTAACAAATTTATTATAATTATATGACAAAAATTTGCTGGTGGTACTTAAGGTTGTATAGTTTTATATTGGTGGTGCACAATCTGTCAGAGTTTGGGAACCGCTGTCGTAGCTTATGATATGCACTTACCAATAGCAAGGAAGAAGCTAAAGATAGGTCCACGAGGGTGTGTTACAAATTAATGGCAAGATAGCTGCCCACGCTGTATGTCTGCAACAGTGGGAAACTACACAGCAGTAGGGAACACCGATAGCAGCACTGCTGAACGCACCCCTCATTTACAACTATGTAGAGAAAATGTGATCCCCACATAGTCAACAAATGTTTCACACAATGGCTTTATTTTGAAATTGCTGTTTGAGACACCCTTGTATTTAAGCGCTGAACATTTTGAAGAGCTTATTTGTCACTGAGAAAGAAACCTATGTTTCAGTATCAATTAAAAAAAAAAGCTCATCCAAGGTTGGTTGGTTAATGTGAGCAAACCTAGGTTATGTAAACTGTCAGTCACAGACCTTTAACACCTTCTTTGTAGGATACATTTCTTACCAAGTTCCCCCTAAGCCTCAGTGACAGACCCAGGTTCTGTACCGCCGCCCCCACCCCCCAACATGACCTTTTTTCAAACAATCTGGTCAGTAACTTAGTTTCTCGGTGATGGTCCCCCTAACCTGCATTTTAAGAAGTGGAAGCTGCAACTTCAGTTAGAGAAATGCTGTTACAGAAAGCATGCATCCAGCCTGGTTTGAACTGTGCACTGCTACACTGCTTACATCAAGCATAATTCAATGGCCACTCTCACATCAAGAATTCTCATCTGCCTTCACAACGAGAGCTACACATGCACAGCACCAACAGAAATTGGTAGCTAATTAATCTGATGCTTGGAGATGGTCTGAAATGTGAAGCAAAAGACCCACCAATATTCACGAGTTACATCAAAAAGGGAAAAAAAGGAAGGAAAAAAGAAGAAAGACATCAGACTACTTACTGATAGCTGGGGCTATTCCACCCACTGATCCTGGCCCAGGGATGTTTCCTGCTACTGCAGCAGCCTGAGCAGCAGCTGCAGCTTGTGCAGTGGCAGCCTGCTGCTGCATCTGACGATGACATTGCCGCAAATCAAACACCTTAAAAAAAAGATAAGAATAATTTATATAACAAAGAAATCAACCACTGGAGGAAAGGCTTCCTAACAGCTAATACAACTTGTTATACCAATATCCTGTAATAGGGAGCAGAAAACACTATTTCCATGGAGTTGCAAAGCTTTTGTTTCTGGAATATTGAAGGTAACAGGAAAAATCCTGCTAAACTTTTTTTTTTTTTTTTTTTTTTTTTTTTTTTTTTTTTTTTTTTTTTTTTTTTTTTTTTTTTTTTTTTTTTTTTTTTTTTTTTTTTTTTTTTTTTTTTTTTTTTTTTTTTTTTTTTTTTTTTTTTTTTTTTTTTTTTTTTTTTTTTTTTTTTTTTTTTTTTTTTTTTTTTTTTTTTTTTTTTTTTTTTTTTTTTTTTTTTTTTTTTTTTTTTTTTTTTTTTTTTTTTTTTTTTTTTTTTTTTTTTTTTTTTTTTTTTTTTTTTTTTTTTTTTTTTTTTTTTTTTTTTTTTTTTTTTTTTTTTTTTTTTTTTTTTTTTTTTTTTTTTTTTTTTTTTTTTTTTTTTTTTTTTTTTTTTTTTTTTTTTTTTTTTTTTTTTTTTTTTTTTTTTTTTTTTTTTTTTTTTTTTTTTTTTTTTTTTTTTTTTTTTTTTTTTTTTTTTTTTTTTTTTTTTTTTTTTTTTTTTTTTTTTTTTTTTTTTTTTTTTTTTTTTTTTTTTTTTTTTTTTTTTTTTTTTTTTTTTTTTTTTTTTTTTTTTTTTTTTTACAGGCTTGGATCTAGCCATTATCAGCTATGCAAAAAGCCAAAACCATTAAGACTGACTGCATCCAGATGGGCAACAGGAACTATCTGCAGATCTACAGATCTAATTGCTTGATCAGTCTAAGACTATCGTAAACTATGAAATCCGAGACTGTTAATGGCTAGACCCCACAACTGCAATGAGGTCTGTAAATGAAATTTCAGAGTAACATGGCCTCCTTAAACTCTGAGAGCCCTTCTGTTTGTTGCAGCCTTCTTGAAATAAACCATTTTATTCACAAGAACCTACGACGGCTGGTAGACATGGAATTAGAACACCTAGGTTTCAGCGTGAGGATATCCTGCATTACTCTGATCTAACAAGACTTCCGTCCTCATAGACTAGGGAATTATGACCAGAGCAAAAGAAATTAGTGTCCTGGCCCTTGGCTGAGCCTTCTGTTTGTTGCAGCCTTCTTGAAATAAACCATTTTATTCACAAGAACCTACGACGGCTGGTAGACATGGAATTAGAACACCTAGGTTTCAGCGTGAGGATATCCTGCATTACTCTGATCTAACAAGACTTCCGTCCTCATAGACTAGGGAATTATGACCAGAGCAAAAGAAATTAGTGTCCTGGCCCTTGGCTGAGCCCCCTGCCAGCAACTGAAGCTGCATTTTAACACTGAAGACCTGAGTTTAAAAAAAAGAGTTTAC